CCTTAACCCATTGCGTACCGCGAGCTGCACCATGTGCAGCACGCTCATTCGTCGCTGTATGGCCGCGTGCTGCACATGGTGCAGCACGATGATTTTTTCGCTCCATCTGGATTATTTTGCATCCTTTTCTGCCACAAATTTGCGAGCATATGTTTTCGAACACGGAGAACAACATAAGTACGTGGGACCTCGATCGCTGAAGGAGCACTTGGGTTATTGACCTCTTTCATGAAATACTTCAATTGTGATCTTCTTCATTTATTTTCTACGTTCACAAACACTCATAGAGGATTAAACAGGACACCGTTGATGATATGTGTGGAAACATATGCAAAATTTTGATCGCAGGTTGTTCATCCTGTATTCACTAATATTGTGTGGTTTCTAGCGTACGGAGCACCATTCGTCCGGGAAAGGTAGTTCGCTCCTCGTCGAGATTGATCCAGTTCAAGTACTTTGCGATAGCATAACGATCGGCTTCTCTTACAATCAAATCAACGAGATGGTCTGAGAAAAATCGCCGGAAAAATCTGATTGGGTACTGGTAAAATAGAACATCTTCATCCAGTACACCACCGAAACCTTGGAAGTCAAAATTGTTCTGCCTGCTGATATTTGGGGTCCATTGAATCGTCCATCGTTTTTATCTGAGCCTTCTTCTTGATTCCTGCCTGCTTGATTCCAATCCGACTCATCACTTTAATGATTCACGCGGACAAACATATCTTCAGGGGTATCGGGGCCCTGTCCCATCACTTCGTTATCATTTTCAATCAGAAGTTCATCAAACGATCTATTTCGCGTCCATCATTGCCTATTTGGAACAGCTACCATAAATAAGCGTAGTTTCCCAAAAAAAAATAGCCTGGAGAAGCAAAAATGACGTACGTTGAGTTTATACTCCGCTGCGGGCGCGAGAAAGACCGCTCTGCGTGGCCGCGTGCTGCACCATGTGCAGCACGCCGGCGAGGTTGCGAAATATGGCTCGGCCACAGGCGCCCGTTTTCGCGAAAACGCCGCGGTACGCAATGGGTTAAAGGCAGTTGGCACGATAAACCCCCCCCCCCTCCCCCATAAATCCCCAAGACGAGTAGGACTAACACGCGTGGACAGAGTTCGGCGACCTTGGGCTGCGTAGCGCCTCTTCCAAACAGGGTACCCTTATAAGGACCTTATCAATCTACAACATACCGACCCGAGCGCCCACCACGACCGTCCGCACACAAACGGACGATGCTCGTATTGCTTCATTTGCTAGGTAAAATATGAAGGGATCGAATTGATATGAAGCGGACACAGTGCTGCATGGACGTATGTGTTTTGAACTGCATCACTGTTCAAATGAGGTTTTGGTGGTTCAAGTGGTAGGTTACATGTTTATTGGTAACACATAGCGCATACAGCATGACTACAATCATTAAAACTACAAGCATAAACATATGAGGCTAAACTACTGGCATATTCGTGTCAAATGCAAGTCAAAGTTGTGTTGTCTTGTGTTCTTCTTCAGGCGATAGCGGGTCCGCAGTGTCTTGTGTCTCGTCTCTTGTGTTGGCACATCGTGTTCGTTCTCATTTCTGTGTGCTCGTAGTGTTCGGGTAGAAGTGTGGAGCTGCGAAAGCAGCGAAACTGCAAGGAGAAACTGTGAAGAGCTGCGAAGAGAAGAGGAACTGACTGTGGAAGAGGAACTGACTGAACTGCCTGGCGGCACTCAGCGCGCTACCTTTATAGCCCTGATTATGGGCGGTATAAATACTGGCTGAGGTGGGGCGGT